AGGCTGCAAATAGGGATTTACTGACAATTGTTTCAAGTTATAGGATTAAGATCAGATGTGGGTTTTAGTCAGGAAACAAACATTAGCTAAAGTGCATTACCTCATCAGCTAAGGAAAACTCGCTTTACTACTCATTATTTCCTCAACAATGTTAACTAGGAAATAAAATTCAAATAGCACTCTAAGATTTTTCATTGCAATGTTTCTGCATTTTACAATTCATAATTTTTCTTACTTTTAGTAAACTTCTGGCTTCAAAATTCTGTGATGTAAAATGGCCTTTATTTAGCCATATTAAAATATTTCTTATTTATTCTTCTTTAAGACAGAGCCTTTTAGGCAAATGACTTTGTTCCTTCTTATGTTTTTTAATATTGTGTATTATATTCTTATTTATATTAAAGTGATTTATATATTTAGTATATGTTTCCTTCTTACATGATTAACTATATATCATTTAAGAGTGGAAGCTCTTTTATTTTTCTTTACAGTTTTTGGTTAACACAGACCTTTAACATATTAAGTATCGAATAAACATTTACTAATTTACAATTTTTTGTTTAGTATTCTCTTAGAGGGTTGAGAAAGAGCTGTTTGGGGTGTGATATGTGAGATTCGAGAAATTTGGAATGATATGGTGTGAAAATGCCCTTATTGTTTGGAGTACAGAAAACCCAGCTAGAACAGAATTCATAAACTTTCTTCTTGTTCTTGCTGGCTAAGGACATAATAAAGTACTATAAATGCATACGTAGAGTATATGTATATATAGAGAGAATGCAAAGTACATTGAAGTATAAAATAGCAAGTTTATGCATATGTGTACATACACACCCTAAGAGAATAACTAATCTTGAGTATGGCATCCCTATTTTCCATTAATATTGATCACATGAAAGTCTGTAAAGCATTCTTACTCCAGTGACGTGGCTGATGCTTTGAAAGAACTTGACCCTGGCCTAACCTCTTAAAAGGTTAAGACTAGCTGCATTAGAAAAATGGGAGTGAATGCTAAACTATTGACATATAGCACAAGCATATGCAATTAATTTGAAACATAATTTGAATAAATCTGCTGTTCTAAAGCAAGAGAATAATACCCTATCAAGTAAACACTGAGTAAAGGGTATAAACAAGATTTTAAGCTATTTCTTTTTTTAGGCTGGGTACTTTAAAATTTTATGTCCAACTATTTATTTCAGTATAGGTAATAACTGAGTTGTTTTTAGAGAAGCTTAATTTGAGCACTACATGTGTAATGGAAAATATTTTAACTTCATTATTCACTAAAGATGTAACCATATGACTGAAATATATCCCATGTTCTCATTCATATGCAGGAGCTATAAAAGTGGATCTCATGAAGATAGAGAGTAGATTGGTGGTTATCAGAGGCTGGGAAGGTGCAGGGCAGGGGGGAGTGGATGAAGAAAGGTTAATTAATGAGTACAAATATACTGTCAGAAGAAATAAGACCTGACGTTCCATAGGTCAGTAGGGTGACTACAGTTAACATTAATCTACTGTATATTTCAAATTAGAAGAGAACAATTTGAATATTCCTACTACAAAAAAAGATAAATATTTAAGGTGATGGATACTCCAATTATCCTAATTTGATTAAAATGAATGTATCAAATTATCACATGTAGCCAAAAATATGTACATCTATTACGTATCAACAAAAAAACACTTAATGTTGAATAAAAAACATATTAGTTAAAATGAGTACTTGAAGACACTTGACATCCAAGCCTGGTCCACTTAAAAGAAACCGTGAAACAAAGTTAACCACTTACCTTAAAGAAAAGGGAATGGCTGAACTCAGTACTCCCATCACTGGTAAATGTTATATAAAACGGTCAAAATCAGTTTGGTTGGAGTTTAGGATGTGAGAAGAGTAGTAGTGTAAGAAACAACTGCAAAGATAAGTGAAACATTTAATAGAGAGAGTTTTCTGTGACTTTTATAAAAGAGAGGATTTTTTCCTTAGTTCATTGGGCAACACGAGGCCCTAAAGTTGTTTGAGTAGGAGAACACCATGATCATGGCTCTACTTTAAAGAAATCAATATCATTATAATTAAATGAAACATGTGATCCTGGAGTGAATCCTAAACAACAACAAAAAATAATGGGACAATTGGCGAATCTGAATTAGTTCTCTCGATTTTAGCATTTTGTCAATGTTAATGTCCTGCTATTGATACACTGCACTACTGTGATTATGAAAGAAAATGTGGTTGTCTTTTAGGAAACGCACTAAAGTATGTAGAGGTAAAGGGACCTC